CTCGGGTGACAGTAAGTCTGGTGAGGAGCAGCAGGGGGCCACCCCAGAACCCCCCACACTCCCCACTGTCATGGCCCTCTCACCAGATGGCGCTGCTGGTAGTGTAGAGGATGCCCCATCTCCGCGGGAGGTCATCCGGGCTGCTGGGCGACTGATCAATGAAGTGACCGTCAGACAGAATGGTTATGTTTACCTGTTCCAGCTGGATGGAGACAATGGTGGACTGTTTTATCTAGATCTCAAGAATGGTAAGGCAGTATGAGATAAAGAAATCAAAAAGATTGAAAAAGAAAAATGATCAAAATACACTTGTAGGATAAATATTGACTGCAATTTCTGAACATATCATGACAAGAAACAGCAAATTGATCCTTATCAATATTTAAGATAATTTTATGTAATACATCTTAATTATATTTCTTGTATGAATATTGATAGTCGGGAATGAAATTTTTATCCTTATTTCCAGGAAGTGGAGGTGCAGGGGAAGGCCTGCCCCCTGGTGGTGAACCTGATGTGACCTTGACCTTGTCTGTGGCAGACATGCAGAACATGTTTGTAGGGAGAACTAAGCCCCTCCAGGCTTACATGAGTGGGAGACTCAAAGTGTCAGGGGACTTATCAGCTGCCTTAAGTCTGGAGGACTTTGTGAAAAAAGTGGTGGAAAAAATTAAATCTGAACAAACAGAATCACTTGATAGATTTCTAAATGTATAGCATGTATGTGTGTGGAGTATATGAACTAAATGAAAATCATTGTCATGCAGAAAGTTCACTTGTTTGATTTAGTTTGTCTGTGATAAAAATTTAAAATGAAATCTGTTTTCAACTTTTCTTAAACAACATTTAATTTTAAGTGTTAGACAATCACGGGAAAAAATCAGTCTTTGAATGCTTTAGACTTATCATGACAACTTCAACAGCTTTGTTTTTTTTTAAATATACATGTATCAACAACACCCATTTTGATAACCTCTGTAAAGTTATTAATTTATCATTCTCTTTGTGTTAATTCTTGCGAGTGCCATGTTATTTCTTTTTGTATTCAACTATTTATAATAAAATTTTTTATTAAATATTTTTTTACTTACTTTTATATATAATCCTTATGGCATAAGCAGTTTTGTTTATTCAGAATTAACAGAGAAAGTTGAGTAAATGGCCATCTTTAAAAGATTGTTTGGTTGCCCTCTCCTGGTCGACTGACTTGATACCGCCCGACTCAAATCTTTTTTTTTTACATTAAAGAACATAACATTTTTTTTCTTTTTATTCCTCTTATCAGTCAACAAATATGTTGAAATTTTCAGGAAAAAAGATTTTCCGACACAATAATTTTACCGTTGGTAGGGAGAGGGCAAGCAAACATTATTTTAAAGATGGCCTAAGGTTTCTGATTTTTGGTACTGAAAGAATACCCACTGATAGTATTCTTAATTAAAAAGATATCTGCATTCAGATATTAAGCAAATTGAACTAATTATTGTAATTTGTGCAATTTCACTGGCGATGGCTTGGTCATGTCCTGCGCATGCCTCCCAACTCACTGCTCAGGGTTGCCCTTAGATGGACACCTCAAGGAAAAAGAAACAGAGGCCGGCCTAAGGAGACTTGGAAAGAACTGTCCCGAAAGACCTAAAGAGCAACCATGGATGCAGCACCACCACCAGCTGCAGATCAAGCCGGATGGAAATCCCTTGTAGCCGCCTCAAGCACCTGATAGCACAGAGAGGACTGAGTGAGTGAGTGTGTGTGCAATTTCATGTTTCAATAGCAACAAAACAAAATAATAAAATTATATGGAAATATATTCAATCATGATCCTGCAAATGATCAGCATTGAGTTAGCTATAGAAATAATTCCAGAAAATCATCCTCACACCATTTAATGAAATAAACGGACAGACATCCCAATTACTATATACCCTCCCGCTTTTCAAGTGGGGGTATGATAAAATTAAAGGATCAGTTGATAAAATGCACAGTTTTGATCTATAGAACCTTGATAATGACTTCATGTTTCATTCGTGTTTCTTGGACACCTTTGTTTTCTAATCAATGCATCAAGTAGAGATAGGAGAACAACTTTATAAAAAAATTTAAAGACATTTTAAAACTATGTAGTTTGATATTGTCAATGCATTTTGAGTTTGTTATTTACATGCATCATATTTTGGGGAAATGAACAAAACAGGCCGCACCATATTAAAAAAAAAAACACATAGTCCCACAAAAACATATTTTACACCACAGTTCGGCTTTGGAATTTCGAACAAAGCTTTTATTTCACAACACCAAAACACTCGTCAGTGTTTTCAAGTCATGCCCCCATATCCAGATCATTTAAAGCTAAATAGATAATGTTTGTAATGTGTACAATGATCGAGTCTACATTGATATTTATTGACATATATTGCTGAGGAATTATAATAAATGCGCTATGTACATGTTATCTCAATTTTTGACTTAAACCTGTAAATATCAATTCTAAAATAAAGCAATTTCATTTTAGCAGACCTATTTTTATATTCATATGTGCAAAATCTTATGCGTGAAAAGAAGAAAGGGCTTGCTGTGGCCTTCAACTCGATATTTAGATATATTGACGACGTATTGTCAATTAACAATGATTATTTCTATTCTTAATATGTTGATACGATATATCCTAGTGAGCTTGAGATAAAAGATACCACAAAGTCTGACACATCTGTTTCATATTTGAATATTTTACTTGAAAAAGACGTTAATGGTAATCTAACAACCAAACTCTATGATAAACGTGATGACTTTTTCTATTGTCAACTTCCCTTACTGATGCAGCAATATTATATCTTCCTCACCTGCATACGGAGTTTATATTTCTCAGTTGATTCGATACGCAAGAGCATGCTCTATGTACACGTGTATAATTTCTAAAACTAGGTAAATTATTGGCAAACAAGTTGATAAAACAAACATATCAGCAGTCTCGTTTAAACTTATCATTCCCTAAGTTCTATGGTCGATATAATGACCTTGTCAGCAAATACAATTTATCATTGTGTCAAATGCTGACTGACTTTTTTCATAATAATTGTGTGTCCATTATTCAAACACTGAATTGATGACGGATTTTCCCGTTATTTTCCGATGATGACAAGGAGCACACGACGGGTTTGACCGGTCGGCAGGGGATGCTCACTCCTCCATGGCACCTGATCCCACCTCTTATGTTCTGGAGGTTCGTGTTTGTCCTGTTCCTATTTTGTATTGTTTTATGGACTTTTGATCTGGAATTCTGTGCGTTATCTCCATATGTTGCATTCAATAAATAACTGCAAAAGCACCAAAAAGAGTTATTGTCGCGCGTTGTTTGTACGTGCAGGATCACTTGCTTTGCAAAAACCATGCTGCCACAAAATGGAGCGTGACATCATTGTGTTATGAACATTAAAGAGTTAGGAAGCGATAATAGTGTCAGTTTTGCATGATTGTTTTATGTTCTGAAAGAAAAGAAACCCATACAAAATACTAAGTAAAGATGGAGAGATGGATATGTTGTCCGAATAGGATCATTTGCCAAAGCCCAACAGCACGTTCAGAAAAACATGCCATTGCGCTAACACACAACTCGCGTGATCGCCGTCGCGCTTTCACAACATTGAACAACACGCTGTCACGCTAACCCAAGTTCGCACGACACGCCGTCGCTCTAACACACAACACGTTGTCACGCTAACACAAGCGAGATGGCGTGTTACAAACTGTGTTAGCGTGACTAACGTGCTGTGTGTTTGTGCGATGTCGTGTTTTTTAACACACTGTCGAGCTTTTGCAAATGGCCTTATCTGGATACCATAGATGGAGGCAATACTCGCACGTTAAAACTGACTGGACTCAGTAATTGAGCTTGTCTCGTAACTAACCTATTCATCCCACTTATTACGGACAGTTCAATGGACAAATTATGCTTACGCTTTCGTACACGTTTCCGAGAGAGACAAAGACCAACTCTGCCATATTTGTAGGAAACAAAAAGAAATTTCCAATACATGTAACACTGTTTCCAATCCTGATAAAATAATTGCAATGTCAAGATATAGGAACACTGAACTGAGAAAACAACAATTGCTTGATGTTGTGTATTCACTCTAGATCTGATATAAAATTTGTATAACCGTGTATAATGCGCTCATTTTCTTTGGTACGCCAAATGAAATACTAGTACATGTACATATAAATACATTAGTTCATCATGAATTCAACCACTTTGCAAAACAATTCTTCGAGTGATGAAGAAAGTCTTTTATTACACGGACGATACGCAAACTTCGTGCCTTTCTTCGGAGCTGTTATTGTTACCATCAATATCTTCGGGATTATTGTGATCATCAAGTCAAAAACGATAGCAAAGAATTTGAAGGTGTATATCATCAGTTTGATGACCTGTGACTCCCTTACGGGACTCATCTTATTGGTCGGTCCTTTCATGTACTGGCTCCTTAACTCTCGCCAGGTGGTGGATCACAATGTTTCCGTGATCCGCACCTTGCTTTTGATATCCATATTGCACACCACTGGACTTTCAGTAGATCGATTACTATCCGTAAAACAACCCAATTTTTACATGTTTCGCGTCACGCCGAGGACTTGTACTATAGTTTGTATTTTCATTTGGTCATTTTCCATTGGTTACCATATTACGCTGATCACTGTATCGTCATTTGATGCGATGGGAGGGCAATTCGACAAAAGATTCTACGTCGTTTTTCTGTCTATCTACTTCATTTGTGTTTCCCTCTATTTAGGATCAAGCAGGACGATCATTGTTTGTGCCAGAGAACATCTCAAAAGAATTAACCTTTATCCACATCTAAATGAATCAGTTCAAGACCAACAGGTTTCCAGTACTTTCCGGTTGTCAATGATCGTCACTACCGCTTCCGGTTTCCTCTTTGCTCTATATCTTCCGGTACAAGTTTTTGTAACTTTGACATTCATTGACCCAAACCGAGAGATGAAGGTCACTAGGTTTTTCCTGGATGTTTCCTACCCTTTATTAACATTAGAAAGCTTCCTAAACCCTGTCTTGTATTTGATTAGATTTCGGGAGACACGACAAACGATTACTAAATTATTTTGCCCTTCAAAAATCAAAGCACTTCGATCAAAGAAAGCAACCGCCACATCCAGTCAAACTTTATAAGGATTCATTATTATGGATATCAGAATCAAGTACCTGATATAATACATGTACTAAATGTACTAGTCTGTTTAATTAAAACATATACAAGTGTGTTCGACTGTAAAAATTATTTTGTTGAACGAGAAATAAATGTGAAAAATAACATGTAACCAATTCAGAACTCTTTGTGAAAGCGTCTCATAAAAAGTTTGCCATTCGTTCTTGAAATTTCTTGATGAATAAAACCAGAGAACTGTCAGTACTATTATCTAAAAATGATATTCCCGCTTCTATTCCATTTTTTGCAATGGAAAACCTATGTCAAGTATCTGTCCGATAAGAACATAAAAAGAATGTGCATGATGATACAATGTGAAAAGGATTCTGTACAAGTTCTATTAGTTTTTTGCAGAAATGAAGAGGGGGGTCTGCGGGTAATGTTTTGATACCCCCTACATTATAGCAATGATAGTTCTTTGGGGAACTCAATGTATCTGTCAGGTTGAGAGGAAGAATAGACGTACACAATACACAATGTCAATATGTCTCCCAGTTGATTCGATACGCGAGATCGTGTTTTGGTAGGAAAATTTTCTATAACAAGACAATTTATATATTGAGAATCAATTTGATGAAACAAGGA